AGCGGCCCCCGGCCCCCCGCCCTGCTGCCCACCCGCTCCCACCCGCTCCCGCCCGCTCGGCCCTCGTCCCCTGTCCCCATGGCTTCACCCCGGCGCTCCTGTCACCCCTGACAAGTCATCCCGCGGTCTCCATACCCCCCTGCCTGTCCCCGCTTCATTCCTCCACTGCCTCCCCGTCTGCCTCCCCCTGGCTGGGCCCAGGAGCCCTGCTGGTCACCGGTCCTGCCCTGCCCCACCTGTCCCGGCTCTCCCACTCCCCGCCCTCCCCAGCCCTCCTCTGCCCCTGCCTCCCGCTCCCTTCCCTCCCCTTGCCCCCTGCCCCCTGCACTCCTCTCACCTGTTCCTCGCTGCTCCCCCTCACTTCTTAGGACTCCCAGGTCCCCACACATCAGGCTTCGCCCCTTGCACGGCACGCGGGCACTTAGTTCACGTACCAGGGGCGCTCTCAGCCGGTGGATAGACACCTCTTCCCCTCTCTCTCCTTCTCCCTCTCCCACTTTCTCTCTCCCATCACTGGCCTCCACTGTCATGCACACTCGGACAGATTCACCAAAACCTCCCCACAGCCCTTGCCCTGGCCGCAGGCTGCAGACCCTGCACTGGAGGGGACCTGGGGGACAGTAATGGGGCCAAGATTCTCCTGTGCCCTCCTGCCCAGTCTGTAGGAAGGACGCTGAAGAGCAGAGGCAGGGGCCCCTCAGTATCCCACCTCTGCTCTCCCTTTTCCCACCTCACGTGTTCCTTTTAGGTTTGCCCATGTATAAAATGGGAGCGGGACACGAAGTGTCATTATCAAGCCACCATGAACCCGGGGGGCGGGGGCAGTTCATCTTCTAAGGCCTCCTCCCACCCGTTCAACTGCTTTCCTCAGTGTTATCCTCCCCTTCCAAACCCCTACCCTTTCCCCTCGCTTCAGGCTGCCATTTCAGCCATCAGGCCCCATCTCCCACCCCCTTGGGCAGGAGGAGGGAAGAGTCCTAAAACTGAAGTTGTGTGCTTTGGAGGAACTGGCTCGGCTTAGTCTTTGAAGAAAGAGAAAAAGAGTGACAGTGACCCGCCCCAGGATCCCTTCTCCGCACGTGCCCACAGCACGCCATGACCTGTTGGAGGCTGTTCCCACGCGTTCTCCTCCCTCCCTGCCTCCTGGGTCAGGGTGCCTAGACTCAGGAGCCCCAAGAAATGTCCCGTGCCCAGGACAGACAAGTTTCCGTAGTGCTCACCCCACCTCTTCAACCACTCCCCCACCCCAGCCCAAGTACCTTGTGGGGCCCGGCAGGGTGCATGTAAAAAGTGTAAGGGGACAGGGTCACTGAGGGGGCCCGGCAGGGTGCATGTAAAAAGTGTAAGGGGACAGGGTCACTGTGGGGGCCCGGCAGGGTGCATGTAAAAAGTGTAAGGGGATGGAAGGGAGGAGGAGATCCTGGTTCCAGATCCTGTCCCGGGCTGGCAGAGATCTCAGAAAGTCACCTCTTCTGGCTCCTTGCCTGCACACGTGCACATCACAGACAGACGGACACACACACTTTCAGATGCAGACACAAAGAAATACAGACACAGGCGCAGCAAGACACAGACACATGCGGACTCAGGCACAGGCCCGACAGAGACATCCACGTGTGCACACACATCCCCTGGGTACCATGTGCCTGGCTCTCCCAGTCCCCACAGTTGGGAAACGCCCGCTGGCCAGCGTCTGCCCATCCCAGTCTACAGAGCCCTGCTCCTCCCTGATTCCTGAGCGCACAAAGGCGTGGTCCGAGGCTCTCACCCAGCCCACCAGACCTGCCGCCCAGTCACTCCTCCTGCCCTCTGCAGGCCGCTCCCACTTTCCTGCTCTTTCTAATTCAGCCTCCTGCCCTCCAGAGTGGTGGGGAGCTGCTGTCCCCCTGCAATCCCTGCCTTGAGTCCTCCACTCACGTCCTCACTCCCCTTCCCCATGGCTCACCACTGGGAATGTGCCTTCCAGGCAGCCGCAGCCTCCTCACTGAGGGGCTCTAGAGTATCTCATTTTACTGCAGACTACAGGTCACTCTGCTGTGGGTGTCCAGTGCTCGACCCTCGGTCAGCAGTCTCCCCTTCTCATACAGCAACACGTACAGTAATTTGTGGCACAGGAAATGTGGGTGCTGGGGACCCCCAGCAAAGTCACACGGACTGGTCGTTTTTTGGTTCAGGTCTCCGCTACACAAGCTAGGGTCTCAGTTCTATGGCCCTGGGTTAGGGGTTTGCCCAGCGGGTTAGCATACATGTCCGGTAAATGCTCTGGTCACAGCCAGTTCCCACACCGCTGTCCTCTCCTGGGTTCGTCAGAATGTGTGTTTGTTGCAGGCTTTGACATCTCCAGTTTATAGTGTTTTATCCGCCTTCCACTGACCTCCGCCCTATCTCTCCTGTAACCCCTGGAGCAGGAGGGATGCCTGCCAGGGGAGTGGGGCCCCTCCTCCATATCTGCAAGATGGTCCTAGGTCCGGGGCCGCGGGCCTGGCCTCAGTCACAGCCCCTTCCCCGCTCCCGCAGGTAGATGGCCCCTCCAGGCCAGGCGCTGCGGACACCCCTCCCTCCGGCTGGCGGATGCAGTGCCTAGCGGCCGCTCTTAAGGACGAAACCAACATGAGTGGGGGAGGGGAGCAGGCCGACATCCTGCCGGCCAACTACGTGGTCAAGGATCGCTGGAAGGTGGTGAGTGGCCCGGCCGGGCAGGGGGACAGGTGGGGAGGGAGGAGAGGACCTGAAGTCTTGTTAAAACAGGTGCCCTCATGCCCCTACCTTAACGGGGGGGGGGGGGGCGGGGGTTTTTTGGCAAGTGCTTCGGGG